AATAAGAAATTAGCAGATAGTGTCTGTTATATTTTATTTATTTATTTATTTAGATATTTGTGAGTACATCTCTCTATATATCTATATAAAATAATATATACACATATGTATGTATTTGTAATATATATAATTTATTTGTGTGGATATATGCATATATATGTTCTTAAATAGTCTTTTTTCTTCTTTTTAGTTTTTATTGTTATGAAATTTTTTACCTGAGTGATGGATCAAAGTATTTTTTTAATTATCAAATATTAAATATTAAGTTCCACAGCAAGTTGCGATTGACTTGTGGTATGGGAAATTTGTACACCCATCTGTATGATATATGTTACCTATCCTAAGTTACCCTATCTATGTTACCCTTTTGTTGTAAACATGAAATTGGAAGAATCACATAAGATTTTCCTTTATGCTTATCTTGTGTTATCTGGAAGACATCAAGTCGTTGTTGTTATTTTGGGGGAAATAACTGAGAAGGAAGAGATTTCCTGCCAAGCTTTGGAGCTGGAGCAGGTGCCACTCAGGTGTTTGGATGGGTGATTATGTGCTTGGCTCTGTGCAGAGAGTTAAAGGGCTGGAGTTAAAAGACTGGATTTTGAATCATTGCACTCTGGGACTGGCTGGTGTAATCTTCCTTTCAACATGGTTTCCAGTATGATTTTAGGGAGAGAAAGCCCTCTGTATGAAGTTTCTGGAGTTTCTTGCACAATGTTCAGAGTAATTTGACAACCAGATCCTGCCTGTGCAGCTGCATCAACATGTAGACCTGAGTCTCTGGTACAGTGATCAAAAAGGTTGTTCATCTCTGTAGTCTTCTCAGTACCGATCACAACATATAGAGCAGAATGCTGGAGAAAATCCATGTAAATAACTGGATGCTGCACATTTTTATCTGTGTTCCTATGGCACAAGTCCTTGGAGATAAATCACAAAGCAAAATAACCTTCAAAATCTGATGTGGATGCTGCGAAGGATATGCTAATATTGTTCTCTGTCACTGGAATAATCCAGGCTGAAGGCAGCAGTAATTATGAGAAATCGCACAAAATATAGGTAAAGAGCTATCAGAAAAAAATGTTTAACTTTATCAAATTCCATAACTAGTAATCTTTAAATGTATACCCTGGCCTTAGTGTATGCCTATGAAAATATTTTGTAGGGGTTTTTCCTGCTCCCTCTTACACGTTTGATACAGGATTTAGATAGTGTTTTAGAAGCACAGTAACTGTCTAATCCATTTCCTATCTGACTCCCACTTTCCAAATAGGAAAAGATAAGCAATATGGGGAGTGCTGTCAAAACATACATTTCTTTTTATTTATTATTTGACTTCAATCCATGATAGTGGTTTTGGGTGCTACTTCTGACTCTGGAAGCCAAATTTTCCAGCCCATGTGGTCCGTTCTCTGTTATTTCAATAAACATAGAGGAAACTGTGTCTGCAGAGCCCTGCACATGAAGGTAGAAAGATTTCTACCTCAAAGGAAATGGAACAACCTGCTAGCAATGTGTTTCGTGTTCCTAGTTTGCTAACCTAAAGTGCATACTTAAGTGCATACACTTACATTTGACTAGAGTTCGTGCTGTGTGTCTGTCGCCTGGTAGCGTGTGATGTGCCAAGGATAACACAGCACTGCAGCCAGTGAACAGAGCGGCACCGACGTCTAACTTGGTCTGAAGCAAGTTTTGCAAAATTGCTTTCAGAGATTTGGCTTCTAAACTGATCGGGTTACTGTGGAGATCACTAGGGCTCTGTGGAAAACTTGTAGTTGTTGAGGAGAACTTTTATGAAAAACATCTACGTGGGTGGATTCAGGTGACTGGAACATCAAAGCCCTTAAGCCTTTCACACCAAATGAAGAAATAATACTTCTCAACAGGGAATCATATTCCCCTTATGCTTTTTTTCCATGTGCTTGTCTTTGGAGGGAGTTAGGGAGATGAGATTTGCTTTAGCTACATGAGAGAAAGAAATAGTTCTTACTTTCAGTCAGATGATACAAAGATCTAGACTATATGGGTGTGATTCTGGTCAGAATAATAACCTTTTGCTTTAAAAGTATAACCAAGTGTCTACTTGTTTTTAACAAGTCATTAACTTCTTTTTCTGCAAGGGCCATTGGGAACTAGTCCAGCTTCCTGGGAAGGACTGATGGGTTTTTTCTTCTTTTGTTAACTGGGAGAGGTTTCCCATCTTCCTTACCGCATCCAGGCAACCTGTTCTAGCCTGCCTTAAAAACGGGGACCAGACTTGAAAAGATGTCAGCTAGAGGCATTTTATAAGCTGGGCATACCTGGTCAAGTCTGGATATAATTGCTGAGGTGAATCACTTTTATCTGTTCTTAATTTAAGAAGCAAATTTCCTTCTTTTTCATTTCTAATGAAAGCAATGGGAACCAAGTCCTACGTTTCTAGTAAATTGTATGGACAGTAAGAGTTTCAAGTTCATGTTTTGATTTAAAAATTTATGTATATGTCTAACTATCTTTTTGATCATCCAGATTATCTTAATTTTCATCTGAGACTTTCTTGTGTTATTGAGTCTTTAAGGAAGAACATTGATTGTAGTTATGTATGATATTGCACATCCTAGATGATGTTTAAAAATCAGATTTTGACAAGAACAGTAGAGGTGGAGTAGACCTTCTGGCATTCAAACATATACTGGAAATAGAGAATCTGTATTTTAAAGCAGAGCACAGAATCATATTTCTATCTGTACTAACAAATGCTGGACATATTCCAGAGATATTTTCAGGCTTTTAGAAAATTAAGCTTAAGATAAATGGGAACTTTTCACCATTTTGTAGTTGTCTATCACTATATGAGGTTCTGAACTGGAGACACAGCTGTTTTTTAAAGGCAAACAAAATGATAGGAATTGTTTAAGGTGTGCTTAGGGAAGGAGGTTACTGGATGTACTCAGTCTCTAAAATGAAATTCTGTCTCTGCACATAATCTTTTTTTTCTCTTTTTTTTTAGGTCTTTGTAGAAAGCCTTATATGGGCAGGGAAGAGAGGGACAAATGTAGCTCATACTTTTCACAGAAAAGATTTGACAATCCTTTTGTAAAGAAGTGTGGCATTTCTGTTATGAAGTGGTTGCAAAAACCAGGAAATACGATTTTTTTTTTTTGTAAATACCTGCAGTAAGACACTTAAACTGCAAACCATTCTGTGAGCCTGTTTATAAGGCCTGAAGTTGCTTTTGTTTTGCTTAACCAAATGGCCGAAACACTGCCAGCAGTATGTCTGGAATGTTATTTACTTGGTCTATTGCTGAAGTTTTTCTCTGTAGCACTGTACACATGCCACAGTTAGGGGTCATTTACTTTAAAATGACCAAAATAATACCCCCCAAAGCGGCAGTTATTGTTCTCAACAGGGGCTTTATAATAAAAGGGAGCAACTCATCATATTTTGCAGCTTCTGTGTTCACACTTTTTTCTCTCTCTACCCCTCCCTCCCTCCTTTCCTTCCTTCTCCCTTTTCATCAGCAGAATTGTTTCTGGCAAAAATTTGCAAAGCTGGTGTTTGTTCATGCTTTGTGACTCAGTTCCTCTATTAGTGCTTTCATTCCTTACATTATGTCTTACGACGCCAAACACTTGAAATGTGTTAACTTGCTTTGCAGGATCGTGACATTTATCGTGATATTTTACGAGGGGGTGATGGAGCGTGTTTTCCCCATCGAAGCCCATACGTTTCACGGTGTCGGTTCCAGACATTCAACTGGTTGCAAGAGAGCTGTGGGTGTGTTAACATTTCCAACGGAAGGGCAGGGCGGGTGGGGAAGCGCTCTGGAACGCTGACGACTAGTGCTTGGTTCTTGGAAACGTCTTCAGGCCATGTGCTCCCCTCCCACGCGGCGAGGGCTGGACTCAGGGCTGAGGACCCTGTGGTCGCTGCGGTATTACCGCTGTGCTTTCCTTGCCTTCTAGCTGGCTGGAGTTGAGCAAACAGCTGAAATGCAGATTACAGAGGCCCAGGGTTAATGCAGGAACCCTCTGCAGATGATTTGTGCCCCTTAGAGCCCCATCTTTGGCACTGCTTGCTTGTTAGTCCTGGTGGGCCTAGTTCTGCTATTCCTCTTACTTAAAGGTACTTAATTTCAGAAATTATGTAACTGCTGAGGAGTTAATGTCTAATTGGTATAAACACAGCATGAATTGCCTTACAGCACAACGTGAGTTTGGAGCTGTAGTAACTTGCAGTTCAATGCAAGTATACATATCAGGGTTTTTTTTCCCATTCGTATTCTTTTCATATTGCATTTAACTTGCATTTTAATTCATTTTTGGTTGGGTTGAGAGGAGAGCAGAGAGAAAGTAAAGTGGACAAAGATTGGGTTGTTTTTACATGTCCTCAAATGTAGACATTTACTGGATCTCTAGCTTTTTGTGTGTGTGTGCTTTTGGTAAATGATGTTCTCCTTCTTCTGCATCTGCCAAAAAGATGAGCTGTTATCCTCAGATGGTATCTTTTTAGCTTGTTATAAGTTGTAACAAGTGCATGCGCTTTACTATGCTTGGTCTTTGTAGCTTTTGGAGAGTGATTTGTTTTCGTTATGAAACATTTCTGCTGTATTTGTTTCCGGCTTTGGTCATTTAATTGATAAATACCTGCTGCCTGTATTCACACCTGCTCATCTTTTATTATCCTGTCTTAAATATAAAAGATTCTGTTGAAATAAATCAGACTTGTAATTTGAAAAATAGAAAATTTGGGGGTTAAGTTACTTCTTACAGGTAATAGCAGTTTCATGGTTGAATACGAAACAAGAGCTTGGCAGAGTTTTAGTTTGAATCTCTGCCAGCCAGCAATAAAGTGCAACCTAATTCCTGAAAATGTCTGAGCCATAAAGTCTCTGTCATGATCTAGCGTGCATCTAGTAATAACAGGCTGACAAGGCTAATAAAGTCTATGTATTGTTGTAGCCATGCATTGCATGTTGTAACAGCTCTGTAATGTGGTTGTCCTTCATTCGTGTTGTGCAGCCCCCATATCATCTTCCTGTCGCAGAGTGTGTTACCTGGAGGGCGACATCTCTGCGGAGCGCGTCTCTGTCATGAGATTGCACATGCCTGGTTCGGACTGGCTATTGGTGCTCGTGACTGGACCGAGGAGTGGATAAGTGAAGGGTTTGCCACTTACTTAGAAGATATATTTTGGGCCAGGGCTCAACAGGTAAGGTGACAATATATCACTTCTCTATCAAGTCACATGGGAATCAAAATGATACATCCTTCTGTCAGTTAGTTTTAAACTAATCCTCCTGTGCTATGAGGCAAGTCCTTCAAAATGGTGCTGGAATTGCATGCTAACTTGTTTCAAAGCAAAACAAAACAACTCTTTCCTCCCTTGTCCATAATGAATGCTCACCTTTGCAACGTAAAGGTTGGTGCAAATAAGAACGGATGCATCTGCTTGTCAGTGATTACCTTCCCCAGAAATGTACTACTCAAATATTACCATTGAGTTATCAGGCAGTTTTTTTGGCATTCGTTCCACTTGTACTTCTGAACCTGAAATAATCAGCAGTGACTTGCTGAATAATGTAATATTCAGGCACCTTGATGAAGATAGTGTCTGGCCCTATGAATAGACAAGAGGCATGCCTTGGAACAAAATGGTTGCTGATGAATGGAGCAAAACCACATTTTTTTATGCTGTCCAGAAAAAATTACAGAGTCCATCCTAAAATCATAGTCCATCCTAAAATGTGAAGTTCGTAGATTATGTGTCAGACAGTGATGTGGTTTTCTGATCTGATTTTTTTTTTGTCACACCTCTGCTACTTCAAGCATTTTGTGTGTTTGTTTCCTCCTGTACTTGTGCCAGACCCTGAGTCTCTTTTCTCTGTCTCATGGGGCACCATTTAAGTCTGTGGAGCAACCTGTGTGGGAGAGCAGAGGGGACTGGGGACCAGCATTGTACAGTCTTCCATTTTAGAGATTATTAGGCATGTTTATAGCATTGAATAAAATAAAATGTCTTGTCAATTTCTGGAGCAAAGCAAAAGACTGTTCAAATTGTTCACTTTTCCTTCATGTCCTCAGACCCTTTCTGCCATTACCTTGAGCTTTACTGCTCTGTTGTGAGGTGTTCACATCATCCCACACTTCTGTCAGCTAACTGGAAGTGTCTTCACTGTGATAGATATCTTTTCTTGTAAAGGAGTAAGCAACCAAACGGGCTGAGTATTATCCTTGTTAATTTATAAGGTGAGAAAATTTTTTGCTTTTTCCCCTCTGAAATTATTGAGCAATTTCGCTGCTGTGCAAAGTTTGGATTATGAATATATTCAGTACTACAATTTGAATTGTGACTGAAATATTGATTTGATGAAGGAGAATATTAGCAGTTTTCCCTTTTTCAATCTCCCTTCTTTCCTCTCTCATAATAAAAAATGTGCAAGTTAGCTGCTGATTTATAAGCTGACAACCTGGAATTTATCTCATAATTTTTCTGTTAATACTGCTTTTATGGGGAAGATACAGTAGGGAGGTTTTACCCTGTTCATGAAGCAGAAGTACTAGGAAAGTGGGGTAAAATCAGGACACAAAAGCAGCTCTTTGCTTTCAAGGCTGGAAAGAGTAAAGATGCAGCTAGGACCGATATGCCAGGTACTGCACGGTACTGTATGTTCATTTCACTTATTGTCAGTCACCAAGGGGAAAAAAAACATGCCTATCTCTCCTCAGACAGAAATATTTAACCAACTATTGATTTGATG